CCCTACCACCTACCACCGTAAACCAAAAAAGGCGGGCGAGGAGAGAGATCACAATAGCAACTTATCTTTCAGCACACAACTTACCGTATAATGTCACTTCCACGTCTACATAAATTTTGTACTGGCATTCCATTTAGGTATTAGAGTTACATGTAAATTATGAAATCTCTGGATAGTACGTAGTTTGATATTCATGCTCATGCAACTCCTCTCACCGTTACGCATGTTCCAATGGGCATCAATAGAAATTAAAACTCTGGGCATGACATCCACTTTGAACCATCCAATCAAAATCCATTTAGTAGCTTGGTCTTATATAAGGAAGCATAAAAAGGATCTCTGAAACCACATTTTTTTTACCTTTTAGATGATATTAAGGTTGTATTTAATGACTTGGCTATTGACCTAAGGATTTAATAAAAATACTAAAAGCAACACAGACAATTCAAAAGCGAAAAAAGATGAAAACATAAAAAAAAAAAAAAACACAAAAGCAAGAAAAGATGAATGAATGACTTTTTCTACCAACAGTAAGCTTCACTTGAACATCCTGTGACATAGACATATTGGATATATTTTATTCAAAATTACAAAGAAATTACTTAAAATTGTGACAAATAAACAGCATAAGGAAAAAAGTAACTTAATTATCGACCTCAAAATCACTAGGGACAAAGGAATTTAGTGGAAGGATTCAAATTAGTTTTTTGGAGCGGCTGCAGTTTTCGCATTTGAGAAGGGAAGAGTTCCTGAGAGAGAAGTGAGGAGAAATAAACCTCGAGAGAAGACGTAGAAAATGTGCTTCGAAAATAATTAATGCTTGAAGTCTTTGGAAGAGAATAAATCCCTCAAAATTAATTCGGCATCAAATTAGCCCCTCCCTTCTACTGCACATTCATTGATCAAAATTACATATATACCCTAACTAGAGAATAGAGGAAAATTTACATTTGCTTTTGCTTATAGTATATGAAACAATGATATATGTAGTAAAAGGGACTTAAATAGCATGAGTTTCCTCTAAGGGACTTAAATAGCATGAGTTTCCTCTAAGGGACTTATTTGGAAGGGAAGTTAATGGAGGCTTGATTTAGAAGCAAGGTATGATACGTATTATATATTAAATTATATTGTATATTATTTTAAATTTATTGTTGTAGATATATATTTTTGCATAAATTAATTATAAGCTTATAGAATAATACTTGTTAAACATAAAAAAAATAAAATTAATGTCTAAAAATATAAATTTATAGACTAAAAAAATAATATTATTAATATATAGAAAACATAATTCACTGTTAGTATTTAAACTTAAAATGATTAACTTGCATGGGTCATTATGCAATTTTTCAGAATATGGAAGGATACTCTTTTCTTTTATCCTTAACGTGGTTCATCGTCATCCTGTACGTCAATAAATATCTCATCTAAATCTCACTCTCACCAACCACGTGTCCATGCCTATGCCATGTCTTAATATATCATTCAAAACGTAATCAGGAAATGGCATGCCTTCTCTGTCATCGTCGTCCCCTTCCCCCAAATACTCACTCACCCAACTTAGAAATTGAAAGTTTACAACTAAAGATTACAGTTTACTTCAACTTTCTTTTCCCTTTTATCACAAAAATCAATTAAACCATAGATTACAGTGTTTCTCAACTTTCTCCTTCTCTCACTATCTCTGCAAATTCGATTAAACCAGTGGCGGCCACAAATTACCGACACCGCCTCCAATTTTTTCACCTCCATTATCCCCTCCACATAACTCCTGATTATTCAGCATCACCCTCACAGTCACAGGCTCACAGCCTCCTTCCTCTTTTTTACCTTTTTTTGTGTGTGTGTGTGTGAAAATGGCTTACAAATTTGCACCGGCCGAAATTAAAATACTACCCGGTACAATTATTTCGGCCGGTATGCAACTTTTCATTCGGTACCGCTGAGAAATTAACTGGTACAGTATAATGCCCTATAGTTCACTGGTTTTATGACAAATTCCGTATGTATTGACCATACCAACTGGTTTGGTATGAGATTCACAATTTGTTTAGAAGATTAGTAGCTTAATTGAGGGGCCAATATTAGGATTATTCCTATGGTGCAAACCTTTATTTTTATGCTCTTCGACTTCATATATATAATGATCTGAACATCTTTACCAACACCTTAAATCGGTTTGATGGTCTTCAAATCCTCTTCATTCTTTTATCCATCACCTTACCGTATACTGATATATATCTCTTCATGCTTATCTTGTGCTGAATATATATCTTAGTTTGTACGCTATGCTTGACGCGCTGGCAGTTGTGTTACTAGCCCTCTTCAACTTTGTATATTTAATTGGAGGTCAGGGTTACTATGTTAACGATGGCAACTATATAGGTATGCTTTTCTAATTCAATCTTTAATGGGAATTAATACTCATTCCTTGCTACCGTATGTTTACCTACTTACATGTCTTTGTCATTTTGTTATTCTAATAGGTTCCAATCCCATATTAATTGGAGTAACAGGTCAGTCTCAATTTCACACCAAAAAAAAAAAAAAAAAAAAA